CCAGGAGGTCTGTTCTCCAGACTGCTGCACAGACCGGCCCTGTGGAACCAGGAGGTCTGTTCTCCAGACTGCTGCACAGACCGGCCCTGTGGAGCCAGGAGGTCTGCCTCCTCTGGCTGGTGGCTGCAGGCCATCAGGCCATCAGGCCATCAGGCCTCAACCTCTAGCTGAAACCACAGCTTCTTCCCACCTGCTCCACACCTGAGGGGACCCAGATCAGGTCTGTTACCTCAGCAGATAAACATCTCAGCTCGTCTGTAACTGAAGATTTCATCTCGTTTATTCGGTTCATATTAGCTCCTCATTAACGGCTCGTTTTCCTGTATTCAGTCACTTAAACAGAACCGGCGGTTGGTTCTATAAACCCAGCGGTTGTTCTGCCCTCCAGCAGCCTGAGGCTCCAGAACCTTCTGGGTTTTTCCATCTGAGTCCAAAGCTCAGACATGCAGCAGTGATGAGCAGCGCTGCCGTTATCACGTCTCCATGTGGAGAGAAACCTCCTTTGTTTAATCCAGGGCGTCTTTTATGTTTGATCAAAGCGCTGGGCTCCGTCTCAGCAGCCAGGCTGTCAGACGCTCTGCAGACGCGTCCCTCACCCTCCTGATCTGATCCTTCTGAAGCTTCTTATTCAGCCTGAGACACATCAGACCTCATCATGTAAACGTTAGAAAGCTTCCATTAGTGTGAAGATCCGTCCATCATGATGGAGGGGGAGGAGCCTGGTTCTACCTGCTGCTGCATCTGACCCTGGAGACATGGAGGTCACCTGGGACTGCAGCTGAATTATTAATCTCATCGACATTAAGAGCTGAATTATTCAGGAGCTGCTCTGAGGGGATCCAGGGATTTAAATAAATACATTTTATGTCCGTATCTGATATCCAGGTCCTTCATGAAGCCTGTTTCTGTGGAAGTGGTCAAACTGGTCGTTATGTGGGTTTCCTGCCTGCTCGGACTTTAAAGGTCCAACAACAGGAAATATTTCAGCCACTCCTGGAAAAGCCGAAATGGCTGTTAAGAATTTAGCACCTAATAACACAGTATACAGCGCTTTTATTTTGAAGAGCTTTGCGCTGTAAAGCCATGGGGTGCTTATGAACATTTGGGCCATTGGTTGAAAAGCTTCTGCTGCTTCATCTCTGATCCTCATTAAGGTCTGCCGTCTAGGAAAGTTTCTCCAGATGCTTCTGCTGCTCCTGTGTTC